TTCCTCCCTCTCCCTCCCACTCTATCTGTACAAAAAAAAATGGAAAAATATCCTCGGGTGAGGATAAAAAAAAAAAAAAAAAAAAAAAAAAAAAAAAGAAAGGAAGGGAGAAAGAGAGAGAAACATCAGTGTGAGAAAGAAACATCCATCAGCCACCTCCTGACAGGGAATCAAACTGCCACCTTCTGGTGCACAGAATGACGCTCCAACCAACTGAGCCACCCATCCAGGGCTAGTATCTTTTTCTTTGATGTCAATCTTTTTGTCTTAAATTTGAGGATTTTATTTTTGTATGTTTTTTTTTAATCGATTCTTGAAGACTGTCAGCTATTTTTTCTTTTTAAAAAAAGTTTTATTTAGATATAATTCACCCATTTAAAATGTACAATTCACTGGTTTTTATTATATTCACTGATATGTGCAACCATCAGCTCAGTCCATTTTAGAACATTACTATCACCTGAAAAAGAAGCCCTGTATGCTTCAGTTGTCACCCCTCCTGTTGTCCTCCGGCACCCCCTGCCGTACAACCACTAACATACTTTCTGTTTCTACCAATTTCCTGACTCTGGACATTTGTATGAATAGAATCATATCATGTGGTCTTTTGTGACTAGCTTCTTTCATTTAGCATAACAGTTTCTAGGTTCATCCATGTTGTAGCATGTATTAGTATTTCAGTCTCTTTTATGGTTAAATAATAACATTTTATTTCTCTACTTGTTGATGGGCATTTGGGTTGTCTGCACCTTTTTTTTTTTTTTTTTAATCCTCACCTGAGGACATTTTCCGATATTTTTTGTTCAGATAGAGTGGGAGGGAGGGTGGGAGAGAGAGAGAGACAGAGAACAACGAAGTAAAAGGGACAGGGCCGGGGACAAACTGAAACCAAGGTACATGCCCTTAGCAGGAACCAAACCCGGGTCTCTCCAGACCGCAGGCCAACACTCTAACTGCTGAGCCAATCCGGCCAGGGCTGCCTCCGGCTTTTGGAGATTGTGACTAGTAGTGCTATGAATAGTCATGTACTTGTATTTATTTGCATACCTGCTTTCAATTCGTTTAGAGTGAAATTGCTGGATTGGATGGCCACTCTATTTAATCATTAGAGGAACTGCCAGCCTGTTTTCTAAAGTGGCTGCCATTTTTTATTTCTACCCACAGTGTAGATGACAAAATCTGATTAGATGTATGGTAGGTGTTTCTAGTCTATGCTCTTAATGTTCGTGTTTCCATCCATCATTTTTCTGTCTTTCATTCTGTGTACTTTCCTCATCTGTCTTTCATTTAGCTAATTCTTTTCAGCTTTGTCTAGGACTGCCGTTTAACCAGTCCATTGAGGTTATTTTGTTTTTTTTTTATCCTCACCCGAGGACATTTTTTCATTTTTTGTTCAGATAGAGTGGGAGGGAGAGAGAGGAAGGGAGAGAGAGAAACATCAACGTGAAAGGGACACATTGAGTGGTTGCCACCCGCACAACCCAACCGGGGCCAGGGACAAACTACAACTGAGGTACGTGCCCTTAGCAGGAACCAAACCTTGGTCTCTCTGAACCGCAGGTCGATGCTCTAACCGCTGAGCCAAACCGGCCAGGACAGTCCATTGAGTTTTTAAAAATAATTTCAGTGACTTGTCCGGCCAGTGTGGCTCAGTGGTTGAGCATTGGCCTCATGCACCAAGAGGTCACCAGTTTGATTCCTGGTCAGGGCTCAGGCCCAGGTTGTGGGCCAGATCCCCAGTGGGGAGCATGCAGGAGGCGGCCCATGGATGTTCTTTCTCATCAATGTTTTTATCTCTCCTTCTCACTTCCTCTCTCTCTCAAATCAATAAAGGAAAAAAAAAAAAACTAAACTAAAAAAAAAATTCAGCGACTCTTTTATTTTTAGAAATTATTTTTCTGATATATTTCTTTTTAATAGTATCTTGATTTTTCATAAGTTTGGATGATTTCTATTTACTGTGCTTTTTCATACTTCTTCATCCACTTTCTTCCCTGTTAGTTTTATACCTTAGGAAACTATTCACATTTATGTACTATTTTGGATGATATTTACCTGAATTCAGCTTCTTCGATGTTTGATCCTGCAGTTTGTTGTTCTCACGAACGGTGGACCGTTTCCTTGTGGGTGTAGCAGTTTCTGACTGTGCGTATCCCGAGCCAGGCTTGTGGTCTGGCTTGTTGGATAGTTCCTCCTGTTTCTGAGTTCCCTTCAGCCAGAAACCTCAAGTGCTAGCGTTGGCCCAACTCCAATTCTTATGTCAATTTATCAGCCCTGTGGGATGTAAATTTGAATCCCAACCTCCATGAGGTAATAGCTGTGGTTTTGGATTTTCAAGAAAGACACCTCCTCGTCTACTACCATCACCCAGAGCCCAGCCCTGGAGTTGTGCCACTCAGATTTCTGTTCAAGAACTTACCATTCACCTGCAAGGAGCGATTCAACGGACCCCTCCAGTTATTAACTCCTTCAGGAAATGCCTTGGCTTTAAAAAAAAGTTTTTATTGATGCTGAGAGAGAGAGGGAGAGAGAAACAGCAATATGAGAAACATTGACTGGCAGCTTCCCGTACTAACTGGGGGTCGACACCACACAGACTGGGGCAGTGCCTTGGATTTTAAGCTAAGGCCACAATTTTCTTTTTATCGTTTTAGTTAATCCTCACCTGAGGTTACTTTTCCATTGATTTTTTTTTTTTTTTTTTTTTTTTTAGATAGCGTGGAAAGGAGAGAGGGAGGGAGCGAGAAACATCGGTGTGAGAGAGACATCAATGGTTGCCTCCTGTACAACCCCTACCACCGGGGCTGGGGATCGAACCTGCAACCCAGGTACATGTCCTTGACCGGGAATCAACCCCATGACCCTTAGGTTTGAAAGCCAGTGTGCTAACCACTGAGCAACACCAGCCAGGGCTAAGGCCACAGTTTTCTTGGGCAGCCCCAGCCCTGTGAGTGGGTGGGGTCCTAGTGCCTGGTTATTTCTGCCCAGCACAAGACGCCTCGAACAGGCAGGATTTGCTCCAGAGCCCTGTGTTCAGTTGGCTGAGACCGTCAGAGCTGCTCATGTTCCTGCTGCCCGCACCTGCTTCCTCTCCTTTCCTTTCCTAGATGTTGGATCTACATCCTGCTCTAGGACTTTGCCTCCAAAACCCTGCTTCCTCCTCGTTCTGCCTTTCACGGGCGTTGTCCCCCAGTAAAACTCTCGCACTTCTGTCTCGGCACCCACTTCCCGAGGACACGTCTTCTGGTGCTCAGTTCTGTCTTCACTGCTGGCGCACAGGGATTTCCCTCTACTCCTTTCTCCCTTAGCTCGAGATTTAACATTATGTTACTCACATCCATGTGGAATTTCCAGGTGTTTGTATCAGGAGCGTGTTTCCGGGTATACAGTCCACAACATGTGCATTTTTTTACTTTTTGACCAAAATTTCTTAAAGGCGGAAATTATTTAATTGCATATATTTAATGTCTAAATTGTGCTTTAAATGCTTGTAAATAATCATGTATATATTGTACAAGACTCAGGGTTTAAAGGGGTTTGACAGTTATTCCAAATCAGGAATTTCGTTGTATAGCTGGCAGGGAATACAGCCTTGCTATGGTGAGTCTACCGCCTCGTTTTATACACACACCTTCATACACATTTCCAGGAACACGTTATATACAAAGTCAGGGAGAGGCTGACAAGCTGACAAGAGTCTGAGCAAGGGTCCCTAGAGAAACATGGGTGGCATCAGAGACGGGGCACAGCTGGGTGAGACTAAGCCATGACCTGAGGGGTGAGGAGTGCACCAGGTGGCTGCAGCAAGGGGACGGGAGGCGCTATGCAGCGGGAACATGTGCAGGGACGTGGAACAGCAGGGCAGGCACTTCACCTAGAGGGCGCAGGAGATGAGGACGAGGAAGGAGCCCCACCTCACGAGGGTCAGATGTCCCGTGCTTAATGCAGGCGCCTCTGCAAGTTCAGAGTGGCAGAGAGACAGTCTCCTCTGGACTCCCCAGAGGAACTAGCCCAGCTGACACCTTGATTTTAGCTCCATGAGACTCATTTTGACCTTCTGACCTCCAGAACTGCAGGATCAATCTGTGTTGGCTTAAGATACAAGGTTCAAGATAATGTCACAGCAGTAGTGGGAAACTAACATACGAACGGACCACTGTGCTTTGGCCTAGACACTTCAAGAGCAGTAGGTTCAGAGCGAGGGTTCCCAGGAGTTTGGGAGCAGTGTTGGGTCCCTGCCACTGGTGGTCTCCCTAACTACTGATTGGGAACCCCCTTCTGGACATCTAAAACAGAACTCAACCCAAACCCTCTCCTCCCGAGTTCTTTGTCTTGGAGAGCACAGCTGAGCCAGAAGCTTCTGAATCATCCATTTAGTGAACCACTAAATGGTCGAAGGTTCTGGCAGAAAGTGTCCTGCAGGCAGAGCACCAGGCGAGAAGGCATGAGGACTGGGAAGGGGGTGGTGGTGGTGGAGATGAAAACATGAGGTAACTCTTAACTTGTTAGCTCTGGTTGGTGGGAATACCGGCGTAAGCCTGGGTCTACAGCCACGGGGCGGACTTCACTCCAAGACCCGGGACACAACTACGAGGATCACTCGTCCTTTCCGTGCCTTGGCCCCGCCAGGAGATGCAGAGAAAACATCCCGCGTCAGCTTTGCTTTGATGGTCTGCACTTCTCCTGACCTCCCTATCTGCACGTGTAGCATATCACGTAAGACTAAATTACATAAACCGTGATTATCTTCTGAAGCAAAGTGATGGGATGTTTCGATTCCCCCCTCCCAAATGTCATTTTTGCCTCCACTGACTCAAATTTTTCAGGAATCTTCCATTCCTAGCTCTTAGGGGCTGTCTTCTCCCTGGGCCCTGGGCAGTCTTCCCAAGTGCCTGAGGAAGACGCTGGCAGTGCCCACACAGCCTTGGGGGGGGGGATGTTGAGACGTATCAGCACCAGAGACGCAGGTCTAAGAACAGAACCCACCAAACCACCTCGGTGCTGGTTAGGTTTTATTTTAACAGGGCATTTCCTCTTCATTTGTTTTTCAAAATATCAGTTATATCAATTAGAGGTGTAAACAGGTACAAAATATACAGTACAAAGAAACAATTTTCTTAACTAGTCTATTGTCTAACAAAAGTACACATGGGGGAGCTGAGTGAATAGCAGCCCTGGTCTCTCCTCTGCGGGGTTGGGGAACACGTCACCCGTTTTGGATAAGGGATCCAGTGGCAGCTTCAACAAAACAGGAATGGTTACTTGTGTGGCTGGGGCCAGCACTGTGGAATCAAGAAACCCGGGCCCACGTCTGATTCCACTGGTAGGATGTCAGCGGAGAAGGAGCAAGCATCATCCATACCCCACCTCTCAGGCCTTGCTGGGAGCACACGCCAGGGAGGCCTGGGCTCAGCTAAAGCCTGAGGCCTGACCACTTTGCTCCTGCACTTGTGGAACGTCCCTTCTGAGAGGGTGAAAACGAAGAGCTTCCCTTCCCCAAACAGGTTCTGGGAGGACAAGCGGTGTCCAACCTGAGGCTTTTCCCAACTGCTGGCCCCAGCGGCCTCCACAGTGCAGGCTGAGATGTATCCCCTTTGAGTAATTTACTTCCTCACCTTTAACAAGAAAGAAGACTTGCCCTGCGGGTTTTACAAGGTCACGGTAACAATCAAATGGGATGTAATGTGAAAGCACTTTGACAATGAAAACCTCTATGCAGGGGTCACGAGCATGTTTGCAGAGTGGAAGCAGGTTCAGGTGCGGTTGGTAGGCCAGGCTGTTTCTGGCTCCGCTGGTTCCTAGCTGGTGGCAGCACTACTCCTGCCCGGTCACCTCTGCAGCCCTACCCCTGTGTTTTCAGACAACTTTCCTTCCCGAGGTCATGCAACAGGGCAACACTGTCGAGCTCCCTTCTGACGGCAGAGGCGAGTGGGGAATGGAGCTGCTGCTCCAGGCAAGTCCTCTCCCTGCTGAGTGAGGCTCGGAGCCCCAGGCTCAGCCCCGCCGCCCCGGCCCAGCAGCGCCCAGCTCCGCCAGGGCTCCGGGCTAAGGCCATCTCATCCCTCGGAGTCAGTGGGGCCAGGGAGCTCTCGGTCCCTCCTCACTGTGTCCCGAGCCCCGCCAACCTTCCAGCACACTCTGTCTGACTTGGTAAGGACACAGCCACATAAACACACGCTCTGGAAACCGAAAGTATGCTAGAAAGTTTAAACTGGTACTACGACTATTTTCCAGCTTCTTCAAGAATAAAAAAAAAAGTTTCGTAATTAAATTACTTAAAATTCTATGGTGCTGTTTCACAATCAGAGTTCTACTTTGTTTAGAGGTGGAAGCCATATTAACAGTTTCTCTTCTTCCAGTGATCAGTTCAGCAACGTGGGGATTTAGTCTCCCAGTGTCCACTCCCGCCTCTGCGTGAGCCGCCCCCCGACGTCTGGAAACGGGACTTTTTACACGCCTGGCCCGCAAGGATCGGAGGGCTGAGCCGACACTGGCCGTCCTGGGGTGCCTCACAGGTCCCCGCCATCGGTGGGTCCCAGGACACTCAGGCCACAAGTCCAGTCGGTCACAAGGTCTGTGGAGGCCAAGGGTCCTTTGGAGGCGGGGCTCTTGAAGGGGTCTTGGGGGCCGGCCGGGAGGGGAGGCAGCGGCTGGCCCCGGGCCGGGCCCTTGGCCCCGGCCGCGTGGTTGCGCTGGTGCTTGCGCAGGTGGTCCTTGCGGATGAAGCTCTTGCCGCAGACGGTGCAGGTGAAGGGCCGCACGCCCGTGTGCGTTCGGTAGTGGTCGATGAGCTTGGAGCGCTCGGTGAAGCGCTTCTCGCACTCGGTGCAGGGGAAGGGCCGCTCGCCCGTGTGCAGCATGCGGTGCCGGATGAGGTGGGCTGGCCGCGTGAAGCAGCGCCCGCACTCCCCGCACCGCAGGGCGCTGCCGTCCCGCGCGGCCCCCGCCGCCCCCGCCGCCCCGTCGGGCAGCCCGCAGCTGCGCTGGTGTGCGCTCAGGCTCACCTGCAGCTGGAAGCTCTTCCCGCATGTGGCGCAGGTGAAGGGCCGCCCCCCCGTGGCCGTGGCCGGGTGCTTCTTCAGGCTTGGCTTGTGGCCAAAGCTTTTGGTCCGGCCAGGGTATTTACAGGGGTCACTGAAGGGTCTCGGGGCCTGGCCTGGGTCCAGAACAGCCTCTCCATTGTCAGGGGAGGTATAGGGCAGCCCCTCGGGCCCAGTCCTCGGGTTCAGACCCACAGGAGGTTTACACCTGAAATTCCAGCCCCACCGGACCCCCCCAAGGAGCCAGTCTCCTGGCGGGGTCTCATCCTGGGCCACGGCAGGGCTGGGCTCCCCCATGTCCCGCTCAGGCCGCGCGGGCTCTCTAAGCCCCAGCACGGGGTCCTGGCTGGGGAAGGAGCTGCCCTGGCTCTCCCAGGCGCCTTCCTGGACAGGACTAGGGAAAAACCTCGCGGCTTGGCCTGGTCCAAATAAAGTCCCGTGGGCCTCTAGGTCAGTAGGGTGCACTGGTGTAGCCACCACCTCCTCTTCCTGGACTTCCGTTTTTATCACAATTTTTACATCTGCTGAGAAAGACAGAAAGACCAGGTATCATTCTATCCCCTGACCCGCTTAGAGTGAAGATCTGATACTTTAACCTAAAGATTCAGTAGCTCCTCGGCCCTCACCCAGCATGCTGAGCACTGCTCTGCGAGCCTAGGGATCCAGCTCAGCAGAGCGCCCCCAGGTGGTCATGCAGCTGCTTCAAACCCTGCACAAAGACACCCCAGTTCTAAAACCTCACAGGTAAAGCAACCATCGCATCTGCTCACCGGGTTCCATGTCTGCTTTGCCTGTTAAGCCTAACCAAGAACTTATCTTGAGGAAGGAACTCTGACCACCAGTGGCGATGTATCTGAGGGGCAAAGGCACCAGACTGGGGCTCAGATAGATCTGAGATGGCACCATGGCTTCCCACAGACCAGCTGTGGACTGCAGGATAATATTTTTTCTTTTTTTAAATCCTCAACCAAGACTATTGCTCCATTTATTTTCAGATAGAGTAGGAGATAGAGCAGGAGGGAGGGAGAGAGAGAGAGGGAGAGAGAGAGGGGGAGAGAGAGAGAGGGAGAGAGAGAGGGAGAGAGAGAGAAACATCGATGTGAGAGAGACACATCGATTAGTTGCCTCCCACACAACTCCAACTAGGGATGGGGACAAACTGCCACTGAGGTACATGCCCTTGACCGGAATCGAACCCATGACTTTTGGTCCATGGGCCAACGCTTTAACCACTGGGCAAAACTGGCCAGGGCAAGGATAATTTTTTGTTGTTGTTGTTCAGACAGAGTGGGAGGGAGAGAGAGGAAGAGAGAGCGAGAGAGAGAGAGAGAGAGAGAGAGAGAGAAACATCGATGTGAAAGGGACACATCGAGTGGCTGCCTCCCACATGACCCAACCAGGGCCAGGGACAAACTGCAACCGAGGTGTATACCCCCAGTGGGAACCGAACCCAGGCCTCTCTGGACCGCAGGCTGATGCTCTAACCGCTGAGCCAAACTGGCCAGGGCAAGGATAATTTTTTTATTCTCATTCATAAAAGCAGATATGTTTTTATTGGTTTACTGAGAGAGGAAGAGGGTGGGGGAAGAAAGAGAGCGAAACATGGATGTGAGAAGGAAACACTGATTAGATGCCCTCTGTACATGCCCCGAATGGGGATCGAACAGGCAATCTAGGTCGTGCCCTGACCGGCTGTCTGGAATGAAACCCGCAACCTTTTTTTTTGGTGTTATCAGACGACACTCCAACCAAGTGAGCCACCTGGCTAGGGCTGTAGGATAAGTTCTTAAGCAGCAGCACATCTGTGAACATCCCAGTCACAGGGCTGTATGAGGGCTACACCAGATAACATGTCTAAAGGCATCTCGCATGATATTTGGCATGCAGCATGCAGCCAATAAATGTGGTCCGCGAGCTAACAATATTATTAAAACTGTAAACGTGATTTGATGTAAATGTATTTGAATTTCATTCCTGACGTTTTATATCAGGGATCTAGGCTTTTAGCACATATTTGGGGTGCTAACATATAAAGTAACAGAAAACGGGTCTTCACAACAGAAGTAAATAGAAAAGAAACACATAAATTTGGAAGTTTGCTTCCCAATTTTGGCCTTTGGACACCTGTCTTTGGCAGTGCCGATATCTAAGAAGTGCTTCTGGGATGGTTGTTTTTTCCATGCAAGAGAGGAGCCAGGCTCCGGGCCTGTGCAAGAGGTACATCCTCTCAAGGGGTCAGCGTATCAGCACTGACTGGTTAACATGAGAAACGAGCAGTTGGAGACATCAACATGCTCAAGGAAGGCCGTCCAAGCCTAAGAATCTGGACGGAGATAAAAGACAGACCCTAGTCCTAACATCAGACACCTAAATACCCACTGGCTGAAAGGTCAGAGCAGTTCACTAGTAAGAACGAGGCCTGGGCCCTGGCTGGTTTAGCTCAGCGGTTAGAGCGTTGGCCCGCAGGATAGAGTCCCGGGTTCGGTTCCCGCTAAGGGAACATACCTCGGTTGCAGTTGTCCCTGGCCCTGGTTGGGGTCGTGTGGGTGGCAACCAGTCTATGTGTCTCTCTCACATCAATGTCCACCCCCCACCTTCCCATTCTGTCTGAAGATAAATGCAAGAAAAAGCCCTGGCCGGTTTGGCTCAGCGGTTAGAGCGTCAGCCTGCGGTCCGGAGAGACCCAGGTTCAGTTCCCGCTAAGGGCGCGTACCTCGGTTGCAGTTTGTCCCCGGCCCTGGTTGGTCGTGCGGGTGGCAGCCACTTGATGTGTCCCTCTCACATCAATGTTTCTCTCTCTTCTCTCTCTCCCTCCCACTCTATCTGAACAAAAAGTGGAAAAACCTCCTCAGGTGAGGATAAAAAAATAAAAAAAAGATAAATGCAAGAAAAGTCCTTGGGTGAGGATAGAAAAAACAAAAACAAAAATCGAGGCCTGGGCTGAGGCAGCCTTCAGGGCAGACGTGAGTCTTTCCCGCCCTCCCTCTGCCACCCATACCTTCCGTGGAGGCGGCCGTGTTGAGCTTCAGGGTCCCGTCGGAGCATGCGGATGAGGGGTGGTGGGGAGGGAGATCCGCCTGCCAGGAAGTGGGTGCAATAGTGGTTGAGAAGCTGGAGTGGACCCCTGCCAGGAAGAGAGCAGAGCCTGTGTGTTAGAGAACAGAAGTGGCAGAGAAGCCCCACCGGACAGGAGAGCAGGCAGACCCTGAGACCCCACCCTGGGCTTTCTGCATGAGCCTAAGGACCCCACTGCTCCTGAACGCAGGTTTCTCTGGCTCCCCTCTGGGAGGCTGAGACATCACTGGCTCATTTCATGCGGCCCCTCCTTACTATGAGGCAGCCGGTGGCTCGCACGCCCAATGCCGAGGGCAAGAGAAGTGCGGCTGCTGAAGGCGAGGCGGAGAAGCACCAGGACAAGGGCATCGCTGAACCCAGAGGGGCCCAAGGTGTCCTTTGGTGCAGGCCCTGTCTTAGGGTGGGGGAACTTCTAAGCTAGGCAGGCCAGATGTTTGAGAGCCCACAGCGCCCACAGTGCGGGCTTCCAGGCACTCCTGCGCCAGGTTTCTGCCTCTCACTCCGGGTGTCTGCTCCCCATCTGAGCCACTCACCAGAAGCAGCATCTGTAGAGACGTCTCCTGCCCCGGAATCCAGCTGGCTGAGGCCCCAGGGCTCCTCCCCGATATCTGGCTGTCCGGCTGCCCACGCCTCTACACCCAGAGCCTGCTGCTCCTGGAGCTGGAGCTCACCCTCCTGCTTGATCTGCATTAAGAGGTCAGGGGCAGGAACCGGGGGTCCCGAGCCTAAGAAAGGGAGAGTGTGTGAGCACACAGCATCAGGGCCCCTCGGCCCTGAGGGGGACACACAGCCAACCAAGGAAACAGACCTGACAAAGGTCACACAGCAAGAGATCCTGTAGGAAGGGAAAGCGAGGGCAAACAGGGCCCAAGGGGCTCCCTGGCAGAGCACAGCACTGAGCATGTGGGGAGGGAGCGGGAGGGTGAGGGACACACCAATGCATTCTCAGGGCTACACCACTGGTACATGGGGAAGACTACGCTGCTCTGGGGAGATCTTTCTCTCACTTTGAACATACATGTATTTAAGTGAGCACAAAAGAAAAAAGATTCTAGGTATGAGAATCAAAGAGAAAACACAGTGAAATCAAGAGTTTGAGTAGGGGCCAAGAGACCCAGGAAATAGTTGGGACTGGATGCAGGCCTTAGGGGCTGGGGCTTTGATGTCCAAGTGGAGCAAAAGGGAGTTGGGCTGCCTGGTTCACGTGAAGCCAGGAGCCATACGGCTCTGTCCCAGCTGTGAGATGGGAACTAGAAACACTCCATCCAATGGGCCTATAAGGAAGCCGCTATGAATCCATACTACCCACATAGTGCAGAGAACCTAACCTGAGAAATTCACAGAAAGACCGACTGAGAACCACGGCAACCCAGGAGGCCCAGCACAGGCAAATGCCAACCTGCCCCGCAGGAGCCCTTACTAAAAAGCTAAACTTACAAACCATACGAGGAGCCAAATGACATGACAGTTACAGCAGAATCCATGCCCCAGAATTATAGAAAAAAGAATAAGCTGAAAGATACAGTAATATATCTAAAATATTCAAATAAATACAGGAAAGAAGGAAAAGAATCTCTAAGGCAAGAACAGGAAATTATTTTTTTAAAGGCAGATTTGAAAAAGAACTAAATATATGTGACATTCTAGGAATGACAAAATAAATGAAAAATTCAATGGATGGTTTAACAATAGACTGAACAGAGCTAGAGAGAAGATCGATGACTTGGAAGATGGATCTGGGGAGATAATGCACAGCAAGGCACTGAGAGATTAAAAAAGTGAAAGGAAAGTAAGAGACAAGGAGGACAGAATGAGAAGTTCCCACACATGCTGGTTGCTGGTAGAAATCCGAGGAGAGCACAGAGAAACGAGTGAAGAGGAATACGGAAGGAAATAATGGCTGAGGATGTTCTCAAATTGAAGGCATTGAGACCACAGTTTGAAGGAACACACCAATTCCTCCTAAGTAGGACATAAAAAATATAAATCTTGACAATGTTCTGTAAAATGGCATAACAGCAAAGACAAAATCTTAAAAGGTACCAAAGAGAAAAGAACAATATTTGGACAGAGAGCAGGTTTCCATCAGCAAACAAGGTCTCAGAAGATAATGAAATATCTTCAGAACACCAAGAGAAAATATCTGTCAACTCATTTTATGAGGCCAGTATCATTTTGTTTGCACAAACTTGAGGACAGTATATAAAAAAGGTTACAAGAGCTCTGGCCAGGTGGCTCAGTTGGTTAGAGCATCGTCTTGTACAAAAAAAAAGTTGTGGGTTCAATTCCCAGTCAGGGTGCATATGGGAGGCAATTGATCAATGTTTCTCTCTCACATTGATGTTCTGTCTAAAAATCAACAAAAACACATCCTCAAGTGAGGATTAAAAAAAAAATTATAAGATTATTTCCTTTATAAACAGATATTACAAGATTCTAAATGAAAGAATTACATATCAAACCCAGTAATATATTTTCAACAAAGAAAGAGACGATACATTATGAACAAATGGGTTTATCCTGAGAACTCAAGTTAACTTTAGAAAATATAGTGATATAACTCACAAAGTTAACAGATTAATGGAGAAAACAATGTAACCATTTCAACAGATGGAGAAGTGGCATTCAGCACTTCCATTTCTGATATGTAGCCTGATGTGCAGAGAAATCCCTCCCAGTAAGGAGTATCTACCTAAAAATGCTGGGTGAAGTATAAAACAATACAAAAAAATAGTTAAGCATGGATTACCTAGAAATAAAGGAAGGAAAATAAATGAGGTCAGAACCTCTAAGAAAGCCTAAATCATCCACAGTAAATCGTAGGGCATCTCCTGATCCCCTCCTACCTGGGCTGTAACAGATGGTACACATCTGGTATAGAGGAGTGTGGAAAGTCTGGGGCTCAAGCAGGGTGGGCTGGAGACAACTTCCATCACATATAACCCTGGGACCACAAAGGGCAACATTCTCAGTGGACTAAATTTAAAACAAAAGGGGAAACCTACCCTGCAGAAGAAACATGCCTATTCAGGCCTTGGCTACATGCTGTTTACAAGACACACCTAAAACAGAAGGATGCAAAAGCAGAATAAAAGAATAAAACATATACTAAGCTGCCCTGGCTGGTGTTGCTCACTGGTTAGAGCATCAGCCTGCACACTGAAGGGTCCCAGGTTCGATCCCCGGCCCTGTCGGGACACGTGCAGGAAACAACCAATTGATGTCTCTCTCTCACATCAATGTGTTTCTCTCTTTCTTTCTCTTCCTCCCCTTCTCCCTCTCCCTCCCTTCCACTCTCTCTAAAAATCAATGGAAAAAATATTCTCGGGTGAGGATCAACAACAACAACAAAGATATACTAAACCAAAATAAACATTAAAAAAAAAAAAAGGATGTAGTTACACCATGGCACATGGTGTAATAGACTTGAAAAGAAAAATATTCACAGAAACAAACAGGGACTACTGCTCAATGTCAAACAGCCCAGGACGATAAAGTAACTCTAAAGTTTTAATCTAATAACACAGCTTCAAAATAATAAAGCAAAACTGACAGAATTCCGGGAGAAACGAACAAATGCACCTTTGTCATTTCGACATACCACTTTCTGCAATGATAAATCTTGCTGACTAAAGGCTATAGGAAATCTGAACAACACTACTAACTAAACCAATCAAATGGACATATGTATAATCTAAAGAGAAGGAAAACACAAGCTTTTCAAGACACGCAGAGCATTAAGGAAAATAGAAAAGATTAGTATTTTACACAACTATTTTCTAACTACAACACTATTAAGTTAAAAATCAATACCTAAAATTAAAAAATATGTATTTGCTTTCTAAATAATCCAAGGCCCTATGCACAAATCACAATGAAAATGAGGTATCTGAAAGCCAGTGATAATGAAAGTATCACTTATCAACATGTGTGGGCTGCATCTGCAATGGAACTTAGAGGACATTTGATAGCCTCGTGTGTTCATATTAAAAAGGAGTAGACAGGTCAAAAACCAATGGGTCAATGCAAGATGTCAGAAAAGAAAAACAGCAACAGAAACCTTTAAAAAGTAGAAGGAAATTATATGAGTGTAAATAAAAGAGAGCCAAAAATCTTGTTTGTTTTATTTTTAATCCTCACCCGAGGACATTTTTCCATATTTTTTTGTTCAGATGGGGGGGGGTGGGGGGAGAGAGAGAGAGAGAGAGAAACATCGACGTGAAAGGGACATATCGCGTGGTTGCCACCCGCACAACCCAACCAGGGCCGGGGACAAACTGCAACCGAGGTACGTGCCCTTAGCAGGAATCAAACCTGGGTCTCTCTGGACTGCAGGTTCACGCTCTAACCACTGAGCCAAACTGGCCAGGGCCAAAAATCTTGTTTTTTAAAGAGAATATTAAACCAGTACATTGCTAGCAAGATTATTAAGAGAAAAAGAGAACGCACCAATAACTAACATGAAGAATTAATAGGGACACAATTATAGATGCAGCGGAGATTTAAAAGATAAAGAGAATAGTATGAATGTTATTCCAGGTAGTACGGAAACTCTGGAGACATAAAAAAATTCCTTAAAAAAAAAACTGTAAGTTGCCAAAACTGACTAAAGAAGGAATGGAAAACTGAAACAGTCCTATAATTATTAAGGATGTAAATCTCCCTGACAACGAAAAGTTTGGGCCCAGATGGTCTCACTGGTGTTTTCTACTGAACATTCAAGGAATAGATAATTCCAATATTACACAAAGTCTCTGAGCAAATAAAAACAGACGGAACATATCATAGCTTATATCTTTATGTCCCAAACAAAGACAGCCTGAGAAAGAAAAGTTACAGGCCAGTTTCATGAACAAAGATCCAAAGAGCCTGCACAGCCCTGGCCAGTGTGGCTCAGCTGGTTGGGCGCGTCCCATGCACCAAAAGGTTGCTGGTTTGATTTCTGGTCAGGGCACAATTCCCAGGCACATGCCCAGGTTTTGGGCTTGATTCCCAGTAGGGGGCGTGCAGGTGGTAGCCGATGGATGTTACGCTCTCACATCCATGTTTCTCTGTCTTCCTCTCCCTTCCTCTCTCTCAAAATCAACAAAAATATATTTTTTAAAAATCCCAAACAAGATAATTAGTACTAAATGCAGCAATGTATGTAAAGGGTCATGACAAAGTTAGATATATCCCATTACTGCAAGGTTGATTCAACATTAGAATGTAACATAATTCACCATACTAGCAGGTTAAAGGAGAAAAATCATATCTCAACAGATACCCAAAGAGCATTGGAAAAAAAACTCAACTGCTATTCCTGTTAGAAATATATCTGTCTGTTCAACTAGAAATATAGGAACCTTCTTTAACCTGATAAAGGCATTGATATACATTTATTATACTCAATGTGAAAAGTTAACAAGCCTTTCTTTAAAATCATGAACCAATAAGATACTTGTTATCATCACATCCATTAAAGAAATTTCTGGGAGTTCTCAGCACAAGAAAACGAAAAAAGTTTCCTGAAAGAAACAAAAAATTCTTATGGCTCAAATTTGATATATGATTATCTTTTTAGGAAATTTGAAAATAATCTATTATTAGGAAAGTTATTAGCATTAATCAGAATTTTAGCAAGTTTCCTGGACAGAAATACCGATAAATGAAAGAGAACTGCACTTTTGAACGCTACTAGGGTTTTAAGGGAGCCCCTTAATGACTATGTTTCTTTCTGTCATGG